ATAATATTATGTAGTATTATAAGTTTGTAATATAATATATTAATATATAATTTATTCATTTCACTTAATGATTTGATTGCTTCTCTTTCTTAATAAAGGAAAATATGGGGATGAGAGAAAAATAAAGAAAAAAATTTAGGAGAGTTGTATTTTTTAATGTGAAGCACGATTAACATCGACAAAATTCTCATTTTTAAATAAAAATTTAATAAAATTTACATTTTTATCTGTACCTTTTTCTCTTGAATTGTTTAATGTCTTTTTTTATCCCTTTCACTCTATAATTTGATTCTTTTACTATGCATATGGTTAAAAATAACATTTGGTAATGTTATTATTAACTTATACTTTTACACATTCTACCTATCAATATATTTAAATTTTGAGGCATTAAAAAATATTCAAATCTTAAAGCCAAATGAAAAAGAATTTCCGAAAAGGCAAAACTATATCTGTTTACATAGAGTCACAAATGTTCAATAATATAACAACAATAATAATAGCCAAAAGATGATAAAATATGAGTTATCCTATTGCAACAACAATTCACCCTTTTCTTTAGCCCAGTACTCTTGAGTCACGCCTCGTAGATAAGGCCTTGTGGGCTGATGGACTTGCTCGTGATTCTATTTCTTGGACCAGGCCAGATCAGTTTGAAAATTTAATGTCTCATATATAAGCCCAAAGTAGCTACTGGGCTTGGACCGTAAGCCCACTTAGTAGAAAATTGTTCAACTTCTGTCAACTGATACGTGGAATTTTTTCTACTAATTTCAATATCCCAATTCTTAACCAACGAAAATAAATAATTTAATAATCATCTCATTTCATTAAAAATAAAAGATTTTAAATTTAAATCATATAATATATATGTGATGAAATAATGAATGAAAGGTAATTATTTTTTATTTTTCATTTCATTGTGCAATCAAAATAAAAAAATACTTTTAATATTTATTTTTTTTATTTATAAGATTTAAATTTAAAATTTTATTTAATAAAAATTAAAAGTTCCATTTGCATTGATAGGTGGAATCTGCCGACTGAGATTCCTTTTCTCGCGCCGACCTTTAGGGGCGTAACAGTCAAAATGCAAGACAAATTCGGACATTTCCGTAAAATCACACAAGGGAAGGAAAGACATTCCCTTGTTTCCCCCTAACCCGAAACGAAACGAAACCCCTGCCGTCATCAGACATTCAGACCTAGAACCCAGAGCCTCCATCTAAAACCCTCGTCGCCGCAGCAAGCCTGAATCACTTACGAACCATTGTGTCCACCGGAGATATTGCCGCCGGCAACATGTCTTGCTCTATCCGCTTATCAACTTCCATTGCTTCATCGCATTCTCGGATCTTCAATAAAATTCCGGTTCACAAACACGGCATTCACGTTCCTAATTATGTCTCAATTCCGAGACCGATTACGGCGCATTCTAAAGTCTTGATCTCCGAAAACCTGAAAATTACGGCTGCAGGGCAGGTAAAACCGGTTCCCGCGGGGGAGATAGAGGTGGACAAGGTAACGGAGGCAGAGCTGAAGGAGAATGGATTCAGGAGTACACGTAGGACTAAGATCGTGTGCACCATTGGACCCCGCACGTGCGGTTTCGAGGAGCTGGAGGCCCTTGCCGTCGGCGGAATGAACGTGGCGCGAATCAACATGTGTCACGGCACTCGCGCATGGCATCGTGCCGTTATCCAGCGGGTGAAGAGGTTGAACGAGGAGAAGGGGTTCGCCGTTGCGGTCATGATGGACACAGAAGGGAGCGGGATTCACATGGGTGATCTAAATGGCGCTGAATCGGCCAAGGCTGAGGTAAGTGAAGCCCAGGCTTATTTAATGCTTTCAATTTAATGGGATTTTTGGATATCAGTAAGTTTTTTATTCATAATTTGCAGGATGGTGAAATGTGGACTTTCACTGTTAGAGAATTTGATTCTCCTTGCCCGGAACGCACCATTAATGTTAATTATGATGGCTTTGCTGAAGGTAATTTTTTTTTTTTTAGATTCTTTGATAAGATGTTACTTTCAAATTTGCTCTTTGTTCATCAGTGTTTCTGACACACTATACTTCTCATTTGATCACCATGATCATGACTCTTTATTTGCTAGTGTAAAAGTTTCGATTTTTATTGTATTTGGCAGATGTGAAGGTTGGTGATGAACTACTTGTAGATGGGGGGATGGTGAGGTTTGTGGTTGTTGAAATAATTGGTCCAGATGTCATCTGTCGTTGTTCGGATCCTGGATTGTTGTTACCTCGTGCTAATCTTACTTTTTGGAGGAATGGGAGTCTGGTTCAAGAGCGTAATGCCATGCTTCCTACCATTTCTTCCAAGGTTAGTACCTCTCAAATGAGAAATTTAGTCAGATTGGTTGATGGCCCCTTGCACTATAGATACTTTGACACAGTGTTAAATTACTTTCATGGCACAAGAAAGTTCCATATCTAGTATGTATATGGCTGCTCTTTTCCAATTTTATGGAGTGTTATTTAGTCATTATAATTATCTATTTCTACCTAAAATTGTGAAAATGTTCCTGTTCTTATGGTCAGTGACTCTTGCAGGATTGGCTGGATATTGATTTTGCAATTGCTGAGGGTGTTGATTTTATTGCTGTATCTTTTGTTAAGTCTGCTGAAGTGATTAAGCACTTAAAGAGTTACATTGCTGCAAGATCTCCTGATTGGTATGCATTTAAAGTTTTTTTTTCCTTTAATTACATATTTTTGGGGGAATGATTAGCTGCATGTGAGATTTTCTTTTTCTTGTTTCAAGTCATTAATTATACGGTTACAATAGAAAAAGAAAATTGCTAAAACTAGTTAAATACCAGCCAAATTGTCCTTGCATGGGGGAAGTCCCTTTTGTATGACAGCCTTGTTGTAATCTTCAATTTAGTTAAACTCACTAAAGTACTAAATCTCTAACTGGTTTGATTGGCCAACTGACATTATGGATGAAAGCTTGGTCTCAAAGATCTCATTCTGCTTTTGCTTTGTACTCTATATGAATATGTTGTTATCTGTGGTGATTTTAATCAATTTTCTTGATAAAAAAGCAGTTATTGCAGTTTATTCAGAAAATCAGTGAAGCACATTAAAATTTTCTTTGTAACTTTAGTTTCTTGTGGATGCATTTTGCAGCCAAACTGCTGTCATTGCTAAGATAGAGAGTGTTGACTCTTTGAAGAATTTGGAAGAGATCATTAAAGCATCAGATGGAGCTATGGTGGCTAGAGGAGACCTGGGCGCACAGATACCATTGGAACATGTCCCATCGGTTCAAGAAAATATAGTTCAGCTCTGCAGGCAGCTAAATAAGCCTGCTATTGTGGCCTCTCAGCTAGTTGAATCCATGATTGAATATCCTATACCAACACGAGCTGAAGTTGCTGATGTTTCTGAAGCAGTTGCACAACAAGCTGATGCTTTAATGCTTTCCGGTGAATCAGCTATGGGTCAGTACCCTGAGAAAGCATTATCTGTGCTTAGAAGTGTTAGTTTGAGAATTGAAAGATCATCAAGGGAGAAGAAGCGCGGTGACTCATTGGAACTTCCTACCATTTCATTCTCTTTGCCTGCTAGCATTTCAGAGCAGTTGTGCAATACAGCTGCCAAAATGGGTAAGCTATCTTCTTGACTTACATTCTGGATTCAATTCAAATTTTGCATGCTACATAACTTCACCATTGAAAGTCTCGGTATCATTGATTGAAAGAACTGATTGAATTGGCCTATTGGGTGATTGAGAATTTGAGATGTATTTATGGTTATTGATAAATGTTGGCTATATTTTCAACTATCCCCTGACATGTGCATCTAATTTTGTTTCATGACATTCTTCTTGCCATCTTAACATTGATTGCTGTTTCTGATGAATTTGTTTCTCAATGAAATTCATGAAGCTTATTGGAGGCTTTTCCTTACTAATAACGTTGTTTTTAACTTTCAGCCAACAAATTGGAAGTAGATGCACTTTTTGTGTACACACAAACAGGGCAGACGGCTTCTCTTCTGTCCCGCAATCGGCCTGACTGCCCAATCTTTGCATTTACCCCTACAGCATCTATCCGAAGGCGCTTAAACCTTCAGTGGGGTTTAATACCATTCCGTCTCAATTTCACAGACAATATGGAGAGCAATCTAAACAGAACATTCTCATTGCTTAAAGCAAGGGGAATGATCAAATCAGGTGACCTCATCATTGTTGTCTCTGATGTTCTGCAATCTGTTCAAGCAATTAGCGTTCCCTGAAGTGGAATACACTCAGTTTATTGATTGAGCTTCCCAGTAGGGGTGTCCACGTCTTCATTCATTCTAGGTTAGGGATTTACCATTTTCTATTATACAATCAATTAGAGGATATGCTTACTCTTAAGCAACACGGCTGCAACACAGTGAGGAATCTTCCTATGTGGATCTTCTTTGTTCTCATTACAAATGATTCGTTTGTCAATGATTTATTGATTCCTGTCAACCATAATAACTTAATTGGTGGCTTCTTATAACTATAAGCTCTGTCTATGTAAGTTGTTCCTCTTGTTATTTCTCCTTGTGTCATAGATGTTCAGAAGAACTTGGAATTCTTTTCTATGTTATGGTTTGTCCTTAAATTCGAATTGTTTACTTTATTGATTTTTGCAATACACTGGCTGCTTTATTAGAACACATCAATGTGAGATGGCATTTATATTGAAAAAGTTTTTGCCTTAACTGCGCCAACAAAGAGTTTGGTCAAGTCCTAGGCTAATTACCCAATGGTTTTGATTTTATAGTTTGTTCATTAGTAAAGAAAAAGAGAGGAAAGGAGAGAAAGAGAAGGGAAAAGAGGGAAAAAGAGGGAAAGTTTTAATGTTAATCTTATTTGGATTAACAAAAGTGAAGAAAAGGAAATGATAATTTTTTATTTAATTAATAATTTAAAGAAAAATAAAATATAATAAAATAATTTTTTAAAAATTTTTATTAATTAAATAAATGATTAAAATAAAATATTTATATCTATTTTTAAAAAATATATAAATGCATAGAAAAATCCATCACAATCCCTCGCAATCCCTCTCAATTGAAGAAATGGAACGTGAAAAGTGGAAGGAGCTCCAAAAGAGAGACATTTCCCCTCACTTTCCTCCCCTTTCCCTCCAACTCTTATAATCCAAACATGCATTAGGGTTTTGGGGAGGGATTTTTTCCATAGGAAAGATGAACATATTTCATCAAATTTCATCTAGAAAAGATCCAACAAATACATGTTTCCTACCCACTGGACATGAAAAAAGAGCCAGTCAGTGGGTATGCTTGTTCACAAGTAGAATGATCATTAATAATATGTTTGGTTTGAAGGAAATAGAAAGATACGACATTCTTTAATCTTTTCTCTTTTTTCTTCCCCTCCTCTCATTAAGATAAAACATGCTTTCTTTCTAAAATTTCAACTAACTAAATAGAGAAATTTTCAACCATCTCCTCTTCTCACCTTAAATTAAACATACTATAAGTAACATCCCAAAAATGGTAAACACAAAGCCCCATTGTTCAGCTCATTGATTGTTTGAAGCTAGTCGTCTTTAATCTAAGTTGATCATATTCCGAGTCAATAGCAAACTCAACACCGTAACGTATGGCTAAAAGTTAAGCTTGAAGTGCCAAACCGCAACAGCTGAAGACCCTCACACCAGACAAGACAGAACAACCTTCCTCGTCGTGCACCATAATACCAAGCAATGCCACACTACGCTGACCAGTCAAAGAAGCATCCAGAATTCAACTTAAAGCAATTTGGGCTTGAATTGGGCTGAAAAGAAGAATACAGAGTTCACCTTAAACAAGTGGAGCTTGAATTGGGCTGAAAATAAATGGACAAAAAGAAAAATAGGACATTTATGAGGCCTAAATTGGGCTCAAAGTGAATTCAATAAATCCAATAACATTTTCCCGACTAAAACAAAGCGAATGCATCAAACACAGAAGAATTCACTAGGTAGAGCACGTGGACTGCCCCCATCTATATTCTCCCATACCCACTAAAAATTGTCCACAACCCCACCTACCCCCCCCCGGCCTTCCCACAAAAAAGAAAAAGAAAAAATAAAGAGGGAACAAACAAATAAGTCTTTTTTGACGTTTGGAAATTTTTAATTCCAAGAAATAAGGGAGATGGGCAAAGGATGGGACATCATATCTTAGTGACCTTTATTTTTGCACTCATGATGCTACGACATCAAGTTCAAGAAAAAGAATTAGATTTCAAGAAAAGTGAAAACCATGCCAAAGACTTTGATGGTTTTTTTTTTTTTTTTTTCCGACAAGCGCAATGATTAAAAGTTAGTTAGGTTAGAATTATTAATAGGAGGTATTGAATCTGGACAATGGTGTAATCCACCGGCTGTCTTTTTAGATAGCAGTGGTCACAGCCGTGAGAAAATACGGAAAAGAATAAGAATTGAACCCCACACTCAAAATAAGATGCCATTTAACTAATGATTAAGTGACCACTTGGGTCACACGGCTTCTTTTGATGTGTATTGGGTGTTCGTAACGGAAGGATTCATTGCCAATTTCCCATTAATCCTAAAAGCGTGTCAACATTGATGATGTCTTGTGGAAAAGTAGAAATGTATGATCTCCGATTGATATGCTGGAACAAAAGTAGCACAAGAAAAGAAGGCATAGCATAGCAAATGGTGGTGTCAGAAAAGAGAGCAAACTCATTGCAATAGGTGATCATGTCACAGAACTTGATGTATTACTTGAGAATCTCATTTTAATAAAAGTAAAAAATTTTAATTTTAAATTACATAAAAAACAATTAGAACAGATTATAAGATTAAAGAGAATAAACTCTTATTGTACATTTTATTTTTTTTAATTAAAATTATATACTACATTGTCTTGAAATTTAGTTTTTTATATGATAATACAATAATATTATAGTTATAATGTTATATAAGATTATAAATTTATAATTATAACGTGATATTAAATAACTATAATGTGTTATTAAATAAGTAAATGTATATAATATCACTGTTATTAATAAACTCTTAAATGAAAAAACATAAATTATATAACAACACATCATCCTCAGTAAAAAGATGGATACAAATAAAAAATTAAAAGTAAAGGAACTGTAGTTGTCTTTAACCCTTATTTTCTTGATGTGTCACAAATGTTTTATCAGTTGACCATGTGGAATTGATGTTAAAAATAAAATTTATATTTTGTAATTTTTCATGTAAATTGTGAAAAGGTTCAATAAATATATCATTAACATGTGGCTTAAAACCCTATTAAAGAAACTCATTAAAATAATAACAACTTTTCAAACTAAATTTTATGAAACCTTAAAATTTGACATTAAGTTATCAGTAGTAATAAATGTCTACATTTATACTTGTACTCCATATAAAATTTAAAACATCACAATTTACCAACTCAATATGTGTACCTCCGAATACATTATATAGTAATATTAAAACTAATTCACCTCTCTAACTAAAAATTTCTAGTTCATAATGTTTCGGCTAAATGCGAATTATTGTGGGAAACAAGTAAATATAAGAGGTAAGATTGGAAATTAACACAATAACTGTTTGAATTGCAAAAGAAGTGGAGCAGGCCTTTGACTAAGGGTTGCTTCTCTTCTCCTAGTTGGCAACACACATGGAAAAAAAAAAATCAAAAAAATGTTTCAACAGTTGATCATTTGTGGATTAAACGGTTCAAATAGATGACTAAGGCAACTTTGTTAAGAAAAGGATGACAACGAAACTAAATAATTGGAGTATAGGGATGACATTTAGTGGTCTTGGAGAAGTAGAGGGATGACAATGAACAAATCCTTAGTAGAGGGATGGACATGAATAAAATTAAAAGAAGAGGGACGAGTGTTGGCTTTAACCCAGAGAATAATACCTTTTCTTTGAGCTTTTGAAAAAAGGACAAGAATATGTAAAAGCTTTTATTCACAAGCATGAAAACTGTGGATTCATTGTCTCTTTCCTGAAAATTGCAATATGTTTTTTCAAAACTTTTATCTTTTGCCATGTTTAAGTAAAGAAAAATATGTGTAGTTCACCTTTTAAAAGGCGAACACAGACAACCAAAATTTAAAGATTTGATGACTTGTGGCAGTTGTGAGGTTTCAAAGATTTTATTTAGAAAAAAGTATCCATGACTTCATGCTCGCACAATCTTTTTCGTATTTCTTTTTTTTTGTTTCCTTTTATAATTTCTTTTGTAATTTTCATTTTCTTTAATAAAATACGGTAAAAGAAAAATCAATATATTTTGATATTAAAAGTATTAGATTATTTATAATAATTATATAATAAATTTAATAAAATTAAAATTAAAATTATATCTTATAAATTTAATGATTGTAATTAGATTTCTTGATTTTGTTTTTCTTATACTCAAAGAAATATAAAGAAATAAAAAGATGCTTATGTTAAATATAGATCATAGCCAACAGAGATGGGAAAAACCAGTGGCTTTGAAAGGTCGAAGTTGGAAAGCTATATTGATGTTTCAAGAAAACAATGTATTGGAAATTTGATTGAGTGTGATGTGGCATTATTATTATTATATTATTATTATTATTATTATTATTATTTTAAAAGGGGGGGGGGAGGGGGAGGGGAATGAAACATGAATAGGCCATGTTGAGATGAATCATGGTTGAAGCAAGCTTTCCTCAATTAAACTATTAAAATAAGAAAATTTAGATAAAGATAATAGGAAAGCAGAAATATTGGCTACTAATTTTATGCTTCTATTACAGAAAGGGAAGTGCTACTTTTGGTCCTCTTTAGTTTAGGGAAGAGGAAATTATCGATAATTATTTTCTTTAATCAGATAAAAATGTTGCTTGAATTACAAATAATAATTATTAATTGTCAAATATCAATTATTAACAACTATTCCCAAACATGTCCCTTGCCAAAGATATTTCGGATGTTTGGCTTAGAAAGAAAGAAGAAAGAAGAGAGTACAACCAAACAGAATGCACTCTTCTGTGGATCATCTTCAATATTAAGAGTCTCTCATCCAACCATTTTTGTTATACAATTTAGTACAATGGTTATACAATTTAATACAATTCAAACTGTACAACAATTTTTTATTATCGAATCTTAATTATTAACAACTGTTCACAAACATGTCCCTTACCAAAAGATATTTGGATGTTTTGGCTTAGAAAGAAAGAAGAAAGCAGAGAGTAAAACCAGGCAGAAAGCACTCTTTCTGTGGGTCATCTTCAAGATTTGAAACCTAATCTACAACGACAACAATAAAAATTGATTAAATTTCCTTAGGGCCTACCTTTTGTTTTCTTGAAACAAAAATCTTGATTGATGGGATTTGGGATTGTCTGTGTTGGGCTTGTTTCCAAGTTTTACTTTAAACAAAAGCCCAGTTTGATTTGAAAATTTTGGGCAGACAGCTTTTTACTGATAGGCCGTAATGCTCGGCCTTTTCTGGTTTTCTTCAAAGATTCTTTTGTCCATTTTAGGTCCGTATTTATTCTCCCATCACTTTCCAATTTCAGCCTTTACCTAGCAGTTAAAAGAAAATGGCTCTTTCTTTTTTGGTTTTTTTTAATGCTAATAAATTCTTTTGAACATGGGAGAATTTGGGGAAAAGGGGTATTCTTTGTAAGTGATTGAAGGGAGTAAAATTCCCACCCTTATGCCTTCAGGTTCTTAGAATTAAGGGTGAACCAAATGGTTTCGATGGGTTTGGTTCGATTCTTAAATGGTTTTTTAAA